TATTAGCAAAAATGACACCTTGGTCATCACGAGTGGACTAAATCATTGTGATTCTGAAATATTTGGACTGTTCCGATGCGTACACACGGATCTAGAGGCATTTTCATTTTTCTCCATTGACTTGTAATGGAAAGGTCACGCCACTGACCTGACCTTAGGTCACGGATATAAAAAATCTGAGATATACAAATTGTAGGCGCCCATAACAGCATGCAATCCACCAAGTTTAAAACCTTTCTGACAAACACTGCAGGCTGGACATGATTGCGAACTTTTTTTAGGCTTGGTCAGTTAACTTGACCTGGTGACCTGACCTGACATGACCTGGGGTCAAAAATTTCACACATTGTCCAAAATTGATATACCAAAAGCTACCCCAAGCGGCGCGGCGCTACGCGCCGCGGTTTTTTATTCACACGCAAAAAACGCGACAGGGTGGTAACATATGCCCCCCACACTGGGGCGAAGGTTAAAAGGTAGCACACTCCAGTGAAATCGAAAGTAATATTGGTGAAATACGAGCATTCTGTTTTTCTCGTTGAACGCAGGTAGCTCGACGTCTGGTGACGCAAGAAACAAAATATCGTCGAAAGTGCGATACATCTGTGCACGGCAAAAAAGCCGCAGCAGACCGTGGCGACGGCCGGCTGCCGCTGTGACGCTTCGCCGTGACGCAAGTGACACCTGACGTGACGCGTGGGGCGAGGCTCACGTCACGCGGATTCTGAGTGAGCGGACGCCCGGTCGTCGCCACCGCTGCTCCGTTTGACACGCCGCTGAAACGGTGTGCAAATTGAATAACGTGGGGTGCAGCAGCCCCTGTCAGTCAAAGAGGTCAGTTCTTGAGAACAATGACAGGCCTCATTGGCTGTCGGATCAATGAATTTCAGATGGTCCTTGGTAAAAGAAAAATATGTACATATAGCCTTGCAAGTGTTTCCACTTTAAACTACATTTAACTAGATAAGAACAATACGGTGTTAATAGCACTAATTGAACAGGCTTTTTCAGCATGTTGGAATGAGAACGGTTGCTTACACTCCTATGTGGGACTGGAGCCAGTACCGTTGGACAATTTTGTTCATAACTGGAACCGGAGTAAGCATTAACCCGCGCACCGACGGGGGGGGGCGGATATCCGCCCCCCCCCTGAGGTTTTTCGCGGATAGCGGGAAAACCGCGGCGCGTAGCGCCGCGAAATTTGGTATGACTATTCCCTCATCAATTTTACACATGGTGTGCAAGTTTGAACCTCCTTACTTTCAAGGTCAGGTCACCAGGTCACTTTGAATGGCCCAACCTCAAGTCACTTTTTTGCAACTTTGTCACCGTGCCAGAGCTACAGTAGATGTCGGAGGCCTTTGAAAGTCACAGGCTGTTATAAAGTCATTAGTAGCTACAATTTGTATATCTCGGAATTTTGATATCGGTGACCTAAGGTCAGGTCAATTTCGTGACCTCCCCATTATAAGTCAATGGGGGAAAAATCAACTCCCTGTTTTTACCACTAAAACGGGTCGGAATGGCCCCATATACCATACATGACTTCATATACGATCAACCTTCACTACCTTGAGGTCTGTTTTGCTGTTGGGCAGCTGTAAGGTCATGTGACGTCATCAAAGGTCACCAAAGGTTTTTGGCCAATAACTCCGTACAGGAACAAGATACAGCCGCGCGGATGGTCTCATTGTGTTCAGCTCGTCAAGACGCATCGAATGATATACATGATGACCTCGAGGTCACGTGACCTGAGGTCAACCTTTGAACTTGACCTTTCGAGGTCAACATATATATCATTCGATGCAGATTGACGAGGGGATCACGATGATGCCCTTAGTTTGTTCCTATCTTGACTAAGTCGAAAGTTATTCGAGAAAAACTCTCGCCATATCTAGCGCCGCCATTTTGACTTTTTCGACCCCTGTGACGTCATCTTTGACCTGACCTGAAAATGACCTTTGTAAAAATTGTAGACCTTGTCCGTGCGTATCCGATGCCGTTTACCGCTTGTCGCTATCTTGCTTCGTTCTCGAGATCTCAGGGGGGGGGGGGCGGTCATCCGCCCCCCCCCGTCGGTGCGAAGTTGGCGCAGACCCCCGTCGGTGCGCGGGTTAACCCGCGCCCCAGTGGCGGTCTCAGCCAACTTCGCCCTAGTGGGGGGGGGGGGCATATGTTACCACCCACCTCTAACTCAAAAACTAAGAGGGCTAGAAAGACGCGGTAAAAAGCAGTCGATAGCTCTCAATGCGTACGTTTGAAAGTATTTCGGTCATTTTTCACCTTAGAGCGATATTTGGGTCACCAGAGGTCATGAAAGGTCAAAATTTGCCAATAGTCATTATATTTTTCAGAAAACATGCCGCTATCTCAGGAACTATGGTAGCTAGAAAAACGCATTGAAAAGCAATCGATGGCTTTTAAACTCTTCTTTTGATAAGGTCAAATCAAAATTGACCTCAGGTCAACGGTTTAGCCTCCAGAGGACAAAAACTCCAAAAATAGCTGTTTTTACGAAAAGTGTTTTCGACAATAACTTTCGACTCCAAAACGCCACGACATTTTTATTGCCAGAATCGTGTTCCCCTCGCCGAGACGCATCGAATGAACTATCATTTGACCTTGCAAGGTCAACTTGAAAATTTGACCTCAGGTCAAGGTCATGACCTGACCGGAAAAGGTCATGTTGCATATCAGTCGATGCGTGTCGGCAAGACAAACACAATGAGACCATTCCCAGCGTTCTATCTCTTTCCAATCGAGAGTTATTGGCAAAAATATATTTGTAGCCTCAAATGACCTCGGATGACCTTTCTAGAGGCTATCAGCAAAAATGACACCTTGGTCATCACGAGTGGTCTAAATCATTGTGATTCTGAAATATTTGGACTGTTCCTATACGTACACACGGATCTAGAGGCATTTTCATTTTTCTCCATTGACTTGTAATGGAAAGGTCACGCCACTGACCTGACCTTAGGTCACGGATATAAAAAATCCGAGATATACAAATTGTAGGCGCCCATAACAGCATGCAATCCACCAAGTTTAAAACCTTTCTGACAAACACTGCAGACTGGACAGGATTGCAAACTTTTTTTTAGGCTTGGTCAGTTAACTTGACCTGGTGACCTGACCTGACATGACCTGGGGTAAAAAATTTCACACATTGTCTTAAATTGATGTACCAAAAGCTACCCCAAGCGGCGCGTAGCTACGCGCCGCGGTTTTTTATTCACACGCAAAAAACGCGACAGGGTGGTAACATATGCCCCCCCCCACTGGGGCGAAGGTTAAGCAAACATGAAATTGTATCAGTTTTAAAAGACTGTGCATACCCATTAAGCATTCGTGTAAAAATAAACTAAATCGATATATTTACAGGTCTTGATCGAGAAGAAAACATTGACTTTTATGGTATGGAATAAAAACATATTTTTAGATGTCGCTTAACATCATTAACCCGCGACCGCCTGGGGAGGGGGGGGGGGTCGGATCCGACCCCCCTCCGTTTTTTCTTGAATAACTTATGAACCGCTTACGCTATCGACTTGAAACTTGGCATACCTTCTCCCCATCAATTTGAAGTCTTCTGTGCAATTTTTAAGAAAAAAATTCCAATTTTTTTAGATATATCGATTTTAGTGACGTAACTACATGGCGTTTTCAGTCAAAAAGTGGTAAATGTTTAAAAAATCGCCAAAAATCAGGGTTTTAAGCAAATTGCAAATTAAGGACATGAATAGACGCAGCTCAACGAGTTCTTTAACATGGCTATCTCGGATTTTCCATAAAATGCGTTTTTTACCCCCCCAAAATTCAAAAAACTATATTTTTTGGAAAACAGCTAATAAAATCCAAAATTTTGAGAATTTCCAAAAAACCGGAATATATGTTATAGAGCTCTATTAGAACATTAGATGTCCCAAATTTCAACTTTCTATCTTGATTTTTGACCCCCAAATTGTAAAAAATAGCTCCAACATGCATAGGGCATGGTGACGTCATAAGCATTTTCGTGAATTAGAGGCACTTCTGAACATCGCATGTGAAAACAAATGGCACCACTAGATTTTTGGGACAAAGCTCGTCTAGAAAAGTGCATTTTTATGTCAAAAATAAAAAGTTGAAAAATTGACCTTTTTTCTTAGCCCTCGTTTAGTTATGCATGGTATAAACGATTATTTATGCTTGCAATGCACACTTATCACCAGCACAGTGACCTGGGGTCACATATAACCATTACCATCGGATTCGGCGTGAAAAATAAGCCATAAAATATGTGTCGCACGCCCATGTAGCAGAAAGTGAAAACCGTGACCTTTCGTGACCTGACCTGACCTTGACCCGTACTTAGTATGACCCCTATACGCACATGGTACCTTCACTAGGTCTTTGAGGTCATTTTTGGTGAGTTTCGAGCAGCAGCTGTCGATTCCGCTGTCCGTAAGCCTAATCATGCAAAACCCCCGAATTTGACCTTTGACCTGACTTTGACCCGAAAGTTGACCTCAATCTTAAAATCTTAAGAGTGCTTTGGAAAGTTCTCGTAGAGACCTTTCGAACGCCGCCTCGCGGGGCTCGATGCGACCATTGGTTCTCGAGATAACAGGGGGGGGGGGGGGTCGGATCCAACCCCCCAGGCTGTCGTGGGAACGGAAATAGCCCAGGCGGTGCCGGGTTAATCATATAGGTCGTCACAAAATAATCTTGACAAGAATAAAGGCATACATTATCCCTAGCTTACCGATCAAATCAGTATGCCAGAAATTAAATTTCAAGTTGTGAGAGCTCGACTATCATTCCAGAAAAAAAAAAAAACGGAATGAAATTGCTAAGACAACGAAGGTCAGTGATTCAGCCAATGATACTTATGTAACCAGCTTTGGGTGCATATCCTGGACAAATTCCAACCGAAGAGAGTAAAGTGGGTCTGATGTCACTCAATCTTGACCGAATGGGCAATTGTTGAGATCGTATAGAGAAGCCAGAAGAATGAGAAAGTGTTCACGCTCACTGTATTGTGCTTTCACAATTATTTGTGCTTAACAGAAGTGAATAGTACATAGATTGCTATGATATGTTATATGTTTAAGTAGCAGAAGCTTGGGTATGTAAATCAGGTTAACAAGACAATGGACTATATTTGGCATTGCTTGATAGAACAGCGCACAAGAAGCAAGCAGATCGAAACTGCTACTTGCAGTAAGTCTACCTCGAACAACAGTTACATGATAACAATAGATACTTGGCACAAGGCTAAATATACGGACATAAATCCATGCAGTCGGATCCCATAGTAAACGTCACAAACCTCTCATCTAAGCGGGATATCTTTGATTTTTCTGAAGACGCCGTATGCGACTGGACTCATAGAGTGCACACAAGGTCTCGGGTAGCCGACTCGAATCGACTGTAAGCGCTAGCCGATCCCGTAACAGCGCTGCACAGTCACGCTACATCAGCAGCAACCGACGTAGCATTGTAATTGCGTATGTACGACGTACGCAATGTCGATCTCAAGATAAGAGTTCCAGCGATAAGTAGTTTTGGATGCGCCCTGAATAACACCGAGTTCTAAGATCGACAGCTGTCAGCTTTCAGAACGACCCAGTTGTCAGAGTGCTTCCCGTCTCAGTTGAGTGAGGCGAGAATAAGGATGCTGATTGCATCGCCATTTGGTCGCTGGAACCCTTAGATTGAGATCAATAGTGCATACTGGCGGGACGGCCGCAGCTGGCTGATTGCGGATGCTCAACCATTCGATGAGCGGCAGCGCCAAACCACTGCACTGATCTGAAGAGGGCAGCACCTGTACGACCATTCACAGACTACAGCACGCTGCCGAGGAGCGCCCTCTCCACCGTAGGTGAGGCCGGGCTAGATGGCAGCACCTCCGCTCCGACCACCACAAAACTCCAGCACCAGCGCGCATCGATACCTTGCTAACCGTCAGGTAACAGCACTGGCGTTGCACTCAACTTCAGCGGGCGGTAGATATCGTGAAGCGTCACAAGCTAGGCCGCTGTTCCATGTTGTAACTCGTCAAGCCTAATCAACTGCACTGATCGTCGGCGTGAACGGAGTTAGGTCCTATCATACCTTACCGTGCTATCATTTCTATTACCACCTCTCATTATCCATTTCGATTCCGCTGATGCCTCTTGTCGATGGCGTGGCAACACAGGGGCCTGGGAGAGCGAGAAGAGGTCCTCACAACTTGGACGTGAGCGTGGCGAGGAGCGCCGGAGCCAGCAGCAGACTCGATTGCAGCGACACCTTCCGTGACGACGATTTGTCCCCTGAGGAGAGATAATTGGGGCATCGGGTTAACGGCAGGCATTTGGCTATTCAGCTTGTGGAATGTGATACGATAAATTACTTCACAATTTTTGAACTTGTGACATAACGACTCTGAGGACTTTGTTTTAAAACCAGCGACCAACAAATAAACCACCAGGCCAGGTCGAAACACAGAACAGAACAGAACAGAACAGAACAGAACAGAACAGAAAGAACAGAAGCTCCAACGACTGATAGAAATGGTACAGAGAAGGATGTGTGACATTCTGGCGTCTTATGTTTGAATTACCATGCATGAAAATATGTAGCTGAATTATGTTCGTAACTCTACGACCACACCCTTCACGTGTCCCATCTAACCTTCTTTGTTCCTGTTGTGCTGCTCCCAGTTGTAGCCCTCTCTGAGGCCGTAGCGCTTCCTCTCGCGCTCCAGCTCCTCCTCAAGGAGGTCATCCCCCAGCTCGTCCTGATCCGGTAGGTAGACGTCGCCGTACAGTCCACCCTGCTCTCCAACACCGTCTGCAGGGTAGACAGGCATGGCGTCAGAGGTTCATCTATCGAGAGGTAAACTATGACAGAAATGCTGTCGGTGATAGCGACATCCAGTCAAGGTCTCACTTATAAACCCAAACGCAATAAACATATCTATTATGCTTCGAAACGGGAGTCCCACAGTACACTCATCTTCGGACCCTTATACGGTTTTCAATTTAAAAAAGATCCAATATTTTCCTCATGCCTCTTAGAGTTTAGACAAGATTTTGAAGGTTGCCTGCTGGCTTGTAAGGCTACGGGTTACATGATCCTAGTTGAGTTGCTTTATGCTCACTCACTTTACATGCCGAAAGCGTGTGGGCAAGAGGGGCTTAAGATTCCTCATGCTTTTGGTTCATACACGGTCCACTACTGTGATGCGGACTAATTCACAATTCTTAAGGGCAGCATCCGCTGTATTTTATATAATTTGCTAATGTCAATGAGACTCTTGGAAAAAATCAGATTGCATGTAAGAAGTCCATAATTGACAACATTTCCTTTTGAGGGCACTTGGTTTAGGCGGTGCTGTGCATAATAGCTCGAGAGAAAAAAACATTGGGTTTGCGAACTAATGTGAGATTTTATGTCGTACTGACGATTAGCTGAAGCACACTTTAACCTTCCAGGCGGTGGGGGGGGGGGGCATTTCCCCCCCCCCCCTTTAGTTTTTTCGATATATCTCGAGAACCGCTATACGCCGATCGTCACCAAACTTTCAGTACTCTCCAGTGAATAGCTATCGCACATTGTGACCAAACATTTTTCCAAAGGCGATGATAAGTTGGACGCTAATGACGTCAGAGTGACGTCATTTCTGCCATTTTCGACCCAAAAAAAGGTTTCGCGAGAAGAGCTATCAGGCCTACAGCTTTAGAGATACAGAAAAAAGTCTCGACATAAACGGTGACGAATTTAGAGGGCTACAAAACTGCTATCTCGGATTTTTCAAATTTTTGGATTTTGACCCCCAAAAATAAAAAATAGATTTTTTGAATATACAAATAGCCAAAAAATCCAAAACAATTTAATTTCGAAAAAACGGAAGATATGTGATAGTCGCTACCGCCTTCTATCTACGTACCAAATTTCAGATCGATACCTCTTTTTTGGCCAAGTTATAGCGAAAAACTGTTCAAAATTGATGACGTCAAATTTTCAAACTCAATTTTTAGCAATTCTAGACCTCGTAGCGTAAAACAAAGACCACCATTAGACTCCCCGTGACGAGTTGCATCTAATCAATACCCATCTATGCAAAAATATCAACTTTGAAATTTGACGTTTTTTGACCTGACCTTGACCTGACCTCCACCAGAAAGTGACCTAAACTGTACCTGATGGTCTTATAACCAACACCATTGAGTTGGAAATGAAAAACTGGCCATAAAACATGCATCGCACAACCTTAGTAAAGTTGGGTTCATGTGGTATGACCAGTGACCTCTAATAACAACACATGTGCTAGACAACTGACGCCCTATCGCTGATTTTCGACAAAATGCGTTTTACTCGGTGTTATAGCGCTTTCCCTAGAAGCCCCGTGAACGGTGAAACATTTTATCTTTGACCTGACCTGTGACGTCATCGGTGACCCCGAGGTCAATGAAATTTGGTTTTCCTTAACAAATTTGACAGGGCTATCAAACGCCGTTTGAATTTTCCGGATCCGTCTAGTAGTTTCGGAGATACGGGGGGGGGGGGCAAAAAATGCCCTCCCCACCGCGCGGAAGGTGGCCGGGAGGCCCACCGCCTGCCGGGTTAACCTGTTTCAATGTGACTCACAGTCTCAAGTGTCACACAATCGATGAGTATCATCCTTTCTAAATGATGATGCACAATAAATGACATTTAAAGTTTGCTTGACTTGATCTATTATCGCAGTCTATCATTGCGCCCTGCTGTGACTAGTTACCATCATGCATACGTTTTTTTTCTAGCGCTCGCTTGTCCCGCGTGTCTCCTGATCACTGTTTAGTGTTTTTTTTTCAAGCATGAATTATGCACCCCTTTGCTTCTTTGGTAACACCGACGCTCGACACCACCGATCCGGCGGCAGTTCCGGCTCTTTAGCGGCGCCGAGCACGGCCGCTGGTCCGACACCGCTCACCGTCTCCCTGAATTACTGCCGCAGATGGACCTTAATCAATCGACTGCAGCTGGCCACAATGAACAAACGGCGCTGGCCGGCGGGCCACGCCGGTCACGTTTAGCCCGTCAGCGGCCGCCGTCCGCTCTGATCTGTGGGGAGCGCCCCGAGACGCCAGAAGCTGTCGAAGCTTCGACGCCGCGCGGGAACTGTGGGGAGCGCTCGGACGCCCGTGGAAGCTCACGGCTTCAGATTCAATGTCGGCTGGAGTCGGAACCGTGGTGCTGATAGGAGAGCGGTCTGAGCTGCGGCGCCCGGCCGTGAGGGTGTGCAGCCGGGCTGTCTGTCGGACCCCTGCGCTGAGTGGGAGAATGGAATTGGGTGCAGGCTGGTTGAATATCTTTGACACGGATTACTGTGTCAGTCTGGCGAGTCAAACTACCCTGAATTGAGATACCGATATCGGGGAATCTGGCTATCGAGTAGGACCGCGTCGAGCCTATCCTCAGCTTTGTAAACACGCCAGTAGGAAGACGATAGCTCCATTATGAATCCGACCATCGTACTGCCGAGTCTGACCACCTGTCTCCATCCCTTCATCAGTCCACCACTCTGATGATTCGCCGAACCACAAACACTTCCGCTGGAGCCACCAGCGCGGCCACAGCTGGCTCGGCCAGGTGTCAAGGGTGCTCTAAACTGGATCAGCTCCCGCCAGCTTTATGAGCCCCGGCTAAGAGCAATCCCCGACCGATGCTCTTGTGTCGGTGGAGCCATTTGATGGAAAGACTGCGGAGTGGAGTACTGTGGCCTGCGCGAGATAAATAGCAACGGGAGCCGATTAGTGCCCGATTCTGCCGACTTAGAGACTTGAGGGGTGATAAGAGGGAAAAGCTTGTCGAGCAACCCACAAAAAGTGGTGAAGGACGGGTCAGCGGAAACGAGCATTGCGGACGAGATATGTCGGGTCGTCGTTGAGAGTGAGGAGGGGGAACGCAAATACAGTATTATTCTCGCTCAACAAGCTCGTGCATATTAATGGAAGAGCCCCAGAATTGCGCATTATGCACTCAAATTTGCATACAACAAAAATATATCCTCACATATTCTTGACAGATAATCTCCCCTTTCCTTAAGGCGACTCTGATCAATTGTTCATTTTAGGATGTTAACCCGCGGCCCACTAGGTCCTGGATTTCCACCCCTTACTGGGGGGGGGGGGGTGTTTGAACAGCCCCTTCTAACTCGGCTCCTGGGCCACGTAGCGATACGCAGAGGGTGGCGTTCGAAAGACCGCCAAAAATAACGACAAAATCATTTCAGTCACTTTTTGGTCAGGTGAAATGTCAGGTCACCAGAGGTCATTAAAGACAAGGTTTCGCCGATTCTCAGGTCGAATGTCGACAATTACTAAGAACCCAACGCATAACTCGGGAACCAATAGAGCTACATCACCGTGGAAGAGTGCATTCGATAGCCTTATTAACGCTCTTTCTGAGTACTTCCCTCAGATTTGACCTAGCGTCAACGGTTTTGCCTGCAGGGGGCAAAAACTGAAAGAAATAATTTTTCGGAAGGTGTTTTCCGCAATTACTTCTGACTCAAGCCTTGCTAGAGGTTACTTTTACCGGCATCGTGTTCCTCTCGTCGAGACGCATCGAATGAACTATATAAGTTGACCTTGGAAGGTCAACTTGAAAATTTGACCTCAGTGCAAGGTAGACCTGACTGGAAGGGCCACGTTGCTTATCAGTCGGTCCATATCATCAAGCTGATCACATCTAAGGCATTTTCATCGCTCTAACATGCCTCTATCAAAAGTTATTCGCGAAAACTGTTAGATACCGATCGTGACCTGATATGACCTCAGGGGCATAAAGAGGGGTCACGGGTACCATTTTCATGTTCAGTATGTCAAAGTTACTTGTAATTCTGTGTTTGAGAGTGTTGGTAATGGTTTTTGTCCAAAAGGGGCGACTTTCAATTTTCTCCCGTTGACTTTTATAATGGGCAGGTCGCAAAATTTACCTGAACTTAGGTCACCGATATCGAAATTCCGAGATAAGCATTTTGTACATACTGTTACTCTTATCAGTGGCTGAAAGCTTCAAACCGATTGGTCACTAGATGTAGCTATGACAGACATTTAAACTTTTTATGAGGTGATGTCACCTGTGACCTGACCTTAAAAGACCTTGGGCTGAAACTTTCCTAGCATGTGTAGAATTGATGTATGACAAGGTGTGCCAAAAAAGGTGTGCCGCCGTTTTTGAGATATTTGCGAAAAACCGCGGGGGCTCAACCCCCCCCCCCCTCCAGCAGGGCACGGGTAAAGTGTATCGAAATGGTCAATGGTCATAGGTTAAATGACTAATCAGGTGATCAGTGGTCAAATACTAATCGTCTGAAAAGTGTAAAAGTCAGACTCCATTTGACTCACTTCTGAATGTGACGATGTCGGTAACGGGCTTCCAGGGTCGGTAGGCCTCCGTCGTTACCCGCTCGGTGGTGGGCTGCAGTATTTCTGCAATCAAGAGTATATTTTATGCAACCAATTACTGGATCTATCAGATAGCAAACATGTTTGCAGACGTACCTATTAACCCGCGCACCGACGGGGGTCTGCGCCAACTTCGCACCGACGGGGGGGGGGGGGGGCGGATGACCGCCCCCCCCTGAGATCTCGAGAACGAAGCAAGATAGCGACAAGCGGTAAACGGCATCAGATACGCACGGCCAAGATCTACAATTTTTACTAAGGTCATTTTCAGGTCAGGCCAAAGATGACGTCACAGGGGTCGAAAAAGTCAAAATGGCGGCGCTAGATATGGAGAGAGTTTTTCTCGAATAACTTTCGAATTAGTCAAGATAGGAACAAACTAAGGGCATCATCGTGATCCTCTCGTCAATCCGCATCGAATGATATATATGTTGACCTCGAAAGGTCAAGGTCAAAGGTTGACCTCAGGTCACGTGACCTCGAGGTCATCATGTATATCATTCGATGCGTCTTGACGAGCTGAACACAATGAGACCATCCAAGCGTCTGTATCTTGTTCCTGTACGGAGTTATTGGCCAAAAACCTTTGGTGACCTTTGATGACGTCACATGACCTCACAGCTGCCCAACAGCAAAACAGACCTCAAGGTAGTGAAGGTTGATCGCATATGAAGTCATGTATGGTATATGGGGCCATTCCGACCCGTTTTAGTGGTAAAAACAGGGAGTTGATTTTTCCCCCATTGACTTATAATGGGGAGGTCGCGAAATTGACCTGACCTTAGGTCACCGATATCAAAATTCCGAGATAAACAAATTGTAGCTACTAATGACCTAATAATATCCTGCGACTTTCAAAGGCCTCCGACATCTACTGTAGCTCTGGCACGGTGACAAATTTGCAAAAAAGTGACTTGAGGTTGGGTCATTCAAAGTGACCTGGTGACCTGACCTTAAAAGGTAGGAGGTTCAAACTTGCACACCATGTGTAAAGTTGATAAGGTTATAGTCATACCAAATTTCGCGGCGCTACGCGCCGCGGTTTTCCCGCTATTCGCGAAAAACCTCAGGGGGGGGCGGATATCCGCCCCCCCCCGTCGGTGCGCGGGTTAATTAAAATCAGCGTCACAAAATATGCAATTATGTCATTTAAGATATATTTGATGCAACATGACGTCTTTATATTAAGAGACAGTTGTAATTACCTTTAAGCTAACCACGAAGCCTCAGGGCCCACTTATGCAATCAGACACATTCATTTGCAACAGCAGAAGACATATTGAAATAACCCACCGTTTAGTGTGATAGATCCATCAACTTTTCCTATGTAGTTTTCGCAGATACACTTATAGGAGCCAAAATCAGACGAATTCAGGTGATGAATCGTCAGCAGCATCTCAGTTTTGTATTCGTAGTGCCTCTGAAACCCCATTTGCAGTGCGTCAGCTAACAGCAACTGCTGTAACTCGTGATTGCGGACATAAAAGTGCCTAATTGGTCATTTGAGAAGATTTGTTTCAGAACAATGCCTTTTAAATGGATGAGAAAACTTATATTCTTATGTAACGAGCCTCTTTGAGTTTACCCAAGGGGTAGAGTTTATCAAAAATGAGATCGCATCATTCATTCGACCCACCTACTGTACTCGCACAGCAAATGAGCGCCAAGACTAATTCGATAAACGCTTCCACTCCCCAGCGCACATCAATTTTACTTGTGCGCACATCAAATATTTTATCTTCCATATAAGTTTTAAACACATGTTCCTCTCACGATTTCAATGTCGTATTTTCCCTTCCGCTCGTCGATAATGAGATGCCCCTCTTTGCCGATCATCTTCCTCCAGTAGACGATTGGCTCCGGGTATGCCTCGCTGCGACATCTCATTGTCACCGATGAGCCCTGGACGCCGTCCATCAGCTGATTCGGAACCCAGATCATCGGCTTAACTGAAACACAAACCATGGGTAATATCGTAGTTTAAAAAGATAGGCATGTCGTAGACTCGTACGCAAACTTCAGACCACATTGCCATTTCGGATAAACAGCAAGCACGCACGCTAACCACTGCCTGGCTATGAAAAAATGCCTAGCTTGGTCATCCAAAGAGCGTTTTCGATTTAAATGAACCATCAATCAATTCCTCTTCTCCCCAAAAAAGATCCGACACCGGCACAACACGGTCTGCCAATGCGCTGCCGCGCTGGAATCCTCCCAATCAGGAGACCTGCGTAGGTAGACAAGCCCGCCGTACTGCCGAGCCGGCCGGGACAGGCTAACAGCCAGGCATTCTGGCCAAGTGCGGTAACCGAATAGTATTTGGTTAGGTGTTCGAGCCTCCAAACGCGCAGAATCCGAAAGAAGATGTAATAGAGAAGTAGAGAAGTCGGGGTACTCCCATCAGGTCGAAGATTGTTTCCATTTTGTCACGCATTCTGTTTGCTGCCTTTTGCGGGAAGATGATAAACACAACACCTTCCGTGGAAAGTTTTTTTTTACAGAAGACTTTCATCAAGGTAAGTGTTCCCAACGTTCTCAGTTCCGGATACGTTCATCGCAAATTTGTCCATGGAAAGTTGATAAGTAAAAGGTGTTTGATGCATCTGTCACTGCGTGGTTCTAATTAGCCGTTTTCGCGACGGGCTATCCGGCGAATGCACCTGATTTGACCAAATCTGCACCTAATTTCTTTTACAGCAAATATCTTCATTTTATGAATTCATTTCAGTGTTTTAACCCGCGCCCAGATGGGGTCTGCCGAGCAACGCGGTCTGATGGGGGGGGGGCATTTTGGCCCCCCCCCTCAGATCTCGAGAACCACGCAACATAGCGACAAGCGGTAAACGGTGTTGGATAGCCCCAACGGGGAACTACCTTGTGACCCAATTTCATTGACCTCGGTCAAACCGATGACGTCACAGGTCAGGTCAAAGGTCCAATTTTCACCGTTTACAGGCATTTCAAGAAATGCGTTGTAAAATCGAGTAAAATGCATTTCATTGAAAATCATCGATGGGGAAATGTTCTTCAAACACATATTTTGCTATTTGAGGTCACTGATACCAGGTCAGGTCACAGAGGTCAGGTCACTGGGGGGGTCACAATATGAAAGTGTCGTGTGACACATGTTTTATGGTCCATTTTACATGACAAATGCGATTATGTGGGTCAGACAGACTTTAGGGCCAGCTTAGGTCACGTTTTGGTCAAGGTCAGGTCAAGGTCAGGTCAAGGTCAGGTCAAATTAGGTCAAATTTCAAAGTTGATATTTTTGCATAAAATGGGTATCAATTCGATGCAGCTCGTCACGGGGAGTTCAATGGTGGTCTCCGTTTTGCGCTACAAGGTCTAGAATTGCTAAAAATTGGGTTCAAAAATTTGACGTCATCAATTTTTAACAGTTTTTTCGCTATAACTTGGCCAAAAAAAGAGCTATCGATCTAAAATTTGGTATGTATATCGAATAGCGCAGGGACTATCAAATATATTCCGATTTTTTCGAAATTCGAAAATTTTTTGGAAATTTTTTGAGTTTTTCTAAAAAAATCATTTTTTTTATTTTTTGGGGTCAAAATCCCAAAATTTTGAAAATCCGAGATAGCAGTTTTGTAGCGCCGTCTTTTCTCTACACAACCACATAAATAACTTTAAAATTGCTTGTTAACTGTAGAATTGGTGAGCGTTTCAAGATGTCATGTTTTTTGCTCATTTTTACTCGAACATGACCTCAGTTTGACCTCAATAACTCCTGACCTGAGGTGACCTGTGACTTGAAATTTTGTGTGAAGGTGTTAAATTGATGCCCGGTAAGGTACCCAAAATTTGGCGGCGCTGCGCGCCGCCGTTTTCTCGCTATTTAAGAAAAACCACAGGGGGGGCCAAAATGGCCCCCCCCCATCAGGGCGCGGGTTAATCGATGATATTCTCTGATAATATGACAGAGCAGGCATATAAGCAATTAGTGCAACCCTAGTTGATAGCTGAGAGACACACTGACCCTGATTTGACCAAATCTGCACCTAATCTGTACCAGATGTGCAGCAAATGTGTACCAGATGGCCGTCGTGAAAACGGCTATTACCTATTCATTCAAAGTAACCAGTTTAATTTGCATCGGCAAGCTTAAATAACAGTTTTGTTGTTGTTGTAACTGTTGTAACTCAAGAAGGATTTGTATAACAATACACATGCCTTGCGTGATGTATACTCACATTCTACAAAGAGTTGTATCCGCTTGCTGACAGTGGGTGGAATCTGAAACACATATTGATTGTGGTGATGGTCATGCTTACCTAATATCTTATCACCATGCATTTAAAATGTTTTTTCTTTCAGTGTTATTTTGCAAACAATTTAAATCCATTTGATCCTGTTAGAGCACCTACATAATTAAAAATGCTTTAAAATTAATAAATATAAAATAAAAAATATTCTGGACTTGACTTTTGTTAGTGCAATTAAACCAGTCATTAAGGGATAAGTAAAACGAAAAACATTTTGATTATTTGGTGCATTATGCTTCGGACTCATGGTCTGGAGTCCGGCCACGTGAAGAGTCCAATTACAACATCGACTACCTATACAATTTTCAACTTATGAACAAAGATATCCCATATCATATATAAGCGATTGATTTTACATACCTCGTTTTTAGCCATACACAGGTAGGCCCCCATATCGGACGGTGTGACATGGACCAAATGCAGAGTGTCGCCCTTGATGGTCTCCGGTAGGCGAGAGATATTCTGATCTGCAATTAAGTGGGCAAGTTGAATAGAGTGACAATAAAGTGACAGTGCCCACGTCGGCTGCATATAACGGTTAGCTAAGAGACTACTCTACAACAACAGCCGATGAGTACCAATGAGCTAGAAGTTGTGAGCATGAAGTTCAAATTAAGCGTTCCGAGATGAGATCTGAGGGATTGCAGCACACGGTAGGCCAGCTTTGGCACAGATTAACTTGGAGAAATGCAATACCACCGGATTGAAACAAATAGCTTACAGCTCTATTTCTTCTGATGAAATTAACATAAGAAAAATCCGGTGTGAGATAGGTGATTAATTAGTCAAGGAAAACGATTAAACGGTGCAAACGACTGGACAAATGTACCATTCGCCATAACGTACGCAACGTCCTTGGATCTTATCAGCGAGTAAATAATCATGCGATCTCTTCAGCTGCACAAATATCAAGAAACAATACTCTGGATATTTTTATTCCCCGATACCATTTTGTCTGTGTTTTGAGAGCCCTTCTCATCAGCGCTGACCCTTCAGCAGCTGGTGGCGCTCCTTGAGAGCGCGCTCTTATACCATCTCCGCGCCGAGTAAAGCTACGCGTAGGCCTTCCCGGCGCGTGCTGTAGTTTTACCCGTGGAGTGACCCCAGCCGAGCATCAACAAGAAGAGCCTAATCAGCGCACGCCTGTGCTAACAGGCGACTCGCGAGAGCTGTCCCATAATGAGCGCCATTATGCATCAAGGGGCGTCTTCCTTTAGTTGCTGCTACTCAGGTGAAGACAACTAATCGAGGAGTGTTTTCCTCCGTTGTCAGACAAGTGGACCCGTCCCGCTCTTATAAGTGGAAGGATTTTGTAAGATAATAATCATTTATGAAATGAGTGAGGAGAGCTTGCTACGCAAGATAAATCTCTCCCGTTTGCTCATGTAGCTCAAAATCACTACGTCCATTGCCACTAGAGATGTCAATCAGATACCAACTTTTTGGTATACCGATACCAAACCGATACCAACTTGGTATTTGGTATTTCAAGGCTAATGCATTTAGTATTTTGTTGGTATTGTGAATCGTCCCTAATGTAAAAGAGTGCATTTCGTAAATGAGTAGAATTTGGTAAAAAGTTGGTATTTTCCTGAGTTTGCCAAGTTGGTTCGGTTTCGGTATTCTTCCATGGTTATTGTTGGTATTTGTTTTGGTATTGGTATCAAGAATCAAGATTTTCCGTAGCTGACATCACTAATTGCCACCCTCGACCTCTGCGATTAACCGTACCCAGAAAGCCGCACCGACTCACCACTCTCTCCACCGCGGCTGAACTGCTCCCGCTGACCGTACTGGTCCCTCCGGCCGTACTGGTCGTGCCTGCTGTACTGGTCCCGTCTGCCGTGCTGCCGGTGACGCCCTCGGTGGCTATGTCGGCCGCGGTGGACCACAGCCGCCCGCAAAGGGCGGCCATCCTCTCTGACCCACTGGATGGTCGGCTCCGGTACTCCGGTAGCCGCGCACGTCAGCGTCACGTTTTGACGGCTCTTGACTGAGACTTCTGACTTGGTACTGTTGTCGTCTATTATCTTCGGTGGCTCTGTGAATGACACAGCCAGATAATCAACAGATCGTGGTGCTAGTAGATTTCAAAGAACGATGAGCATTGGACGTTAGGCAGTCAGTCCTCCATAACTCTATGATTTTCTCACCGCACGATTATGATAAAAATAAAAGAAAAAAATTGTTTTCAGTAATGAGAAATTTAGGAAAATTAGTCATATTCAATTGTGTTCAGGAGCATCCATTCTAAATCGGGTTCCATTACCTTCCCTCTTTGTTCAAGCTCTCGAACAGAAGCATGAGGTTTCCAATTAAAAGAAAAGAAAAAGCTAACATCGATCATATCAGTCCGAGCCATTGCACGTGCGCTCGTGCACGGAGCCGAAACTATATCATATTATAATCAATCTGAAACGTCACTCGGAACTTACCAAACACCTTCAGCGAGCCAATCTGCGACATGAGCGGTGCAGTGTTGACCTGGCACATGTAGAGGCCGCCGTCACTGCGCTGGACCTGTGAGATGTGCAGCACCCACGTGTTGGGGTCGTCCTGCACAAGCTTGAAGCGGGGAATGCTCGTGATCACCTTGTCGTGAATGGTGAGGATCATCTGCCGCTCCAGGTGGATCCACGCCACCTGCACAGGAATGAGAAGAACGATCGTTAGAAGAGTTATTTGACGCCACAAGTTACTTTGATCCATAAGAAGTATTAATGGTGAAAAATCAGAGGATGAGTTAATTTTTTGTACTGATTTTATGATTAGTAAAATATTTCAATATTTTTTTCCCCAGAATAGAATATTTTCCCAGTTTTGCTTCGCCCTGCTAGATGTTAGATAACAGTTACGATTGGATCGCTACGTTTCGTATTGTTGTCTTCGTTCCTTTTTCACACAAGGTCGCTCTTTACCCGGGGCCGCAATATTGGTTGGCTGATGTGTCGTATCGCTATCTTGGAATCCCCCGCTAAGGTGCTGGGGCTTAAAATTATACATTTATGGACATGACTGTGAGCCAGCTCGATAATCGCAATCTTCGATACCTTTTTTCAAGACGGCAAGACCAATTAGATTGGTCCGCGCAGAAACCATTGACATACAATTATCTGTAATCCGTTCTGATCCAATCGTCTCCGACTGTGTCGTGCAGCTGCCTAACATGTTATTTGTTGGCGGCGAGGCCATGTCATTTTCGCCTTGTCAGCCACTCGATGTTATTGGCCGACTCAGCCCAGTATATCAATGATGGAGCACGGCTCGATGAGCTCGGCGAGTGTCACAGCACTATACCCCTCAGCCCGGCACCCCATACCGGGGTGTCACAGCTCGGCACCCGGCCCCAGGGTGCCACAGCAGCACCCCCACACCTCGGCACCCCATACCGGGGTGTTACAGCTAGCCACCCGGCCCCAGGGTGTGACAGCAGCACCCCGCTCAATTCAGCACCCGATCCGGATCGATGGCTGCCGAATGCCGGGGGCGACATCACTGGCCAGGTGATTAATCGAATGTGCAGTAGTTGGCAACATTGTTAGCCGAAGGCCACAACTCTCGGTCGGAAGCTGCGGGCTGGACTGAGAGCCGCCCTATGAAGTCACAGATCCATCGGTCAGAGGTCAGAGGTCATGATCAGTGGTCTAAGGCTAGTGGTCCTGGTCAGATATCAGAGAGCAATGGCTAGTGGTCACTGGTCTGAAGCTAGCGATCATGGTCAAATATCGGAGATCAGTGGTTAATGGTCAGTGGTTCTGGTGAGAGTTCTGAGGTCACTGGTCTGATGTCGGTCAGGAAAGAAGTCAGAGGAAAGAGGTCAGCAGTGAAAGGTTAGAAGGTCAGATATCTATCACTGAGTTGTTGTCACTTGTCAGATCTTTTGATCAGAAATCACCTGAATGCCACTGCAATAGCTCGTCATCTGCAGGTTCGGCTGACAATGCAATCATACTCGTACCTATGACATAATACTCGTACCGCTTCCACGCCTGAGTCTCAATCTCACCACCTGCAGCAATCTCGCTCATCTATAGCCCATTCCACCCCCTCCGTGCCTTACTCTTGACGCACCCTCCCCCCTCCCCCTCCTCCCCAGCCGGGTCGGGACCGGCGGGTGATGGTCGGCATGCCGACACGGACCCTCGGGCCGCCACCTATGCTAATTCGGCGTGCCGGCGCGCCAGATTTGCATCACGGCCGGTCGGCGCTCCACCTGAATCGGCACCATTTCCATAGGTGCCGCCTCTGCGCTGCTCATTACACCGCGCTGCCGGCGCCGGCAATGAAGAACAAAGCTGGCCGCGCTGTGCGGCTCGTTTTCGCGGCTGTCGGCGGCTATTGCGGCGCGGCGCTAAGTGGCAGCGCGCCGCAATAGTCGCTCCTCGGCCGCGCTGCCACAGATGCAGATATCCTATCTGGCTAGATTAGGTTGTGTTCGTATATTACCACCAGCCGGCGGGCCGCTCGCCGAGTTAAAAGTCAGACCGGCAACAAATGTGCAACGGAGATTCTGAATTGGACAAAAACAAGACAGAGCGGGATGTGTTAGCTGTAAACGGGCCGCTTTCATCCACCAGTAGCAGGCGCGAAGACACACGACGCGCGTTGTCGTATCGCCGGCCTTGCACCATTTCAATCGGACTCGGGTGAATTTTGCACGACACCCGTCCAATTGGTGATTTTCGAAGCAGATTTCCACCGGGGCCTGGTAACTTTGAAGTCGCGCCGACGGACATAAGTGGCCCGGACGCCGACCTCGTGATACTGGGAAGCGCCACGCTCGCGCGCCCTCCTCCGCTCACTGCGGGAGACCGACTCGGACAACTCGGAAAACAGCCGCCGTAATCCGCCACCAACTTGGTGACTGCTGATTAAAGAGCGGCCGGTGATGAGCGTCGGGAGGGCCGGGGAAACGCTACCCGATGGGATCCAACCGCAGCCGCACTGAGGTCGAAATCAGCTAACTATGCTTTTCGCAAAGTGATCTATCTGTAAGTTCCGCATCAGTATAGTGACACGTGTATAAGACTCAATCACTGTGCAATTTGCATGCGATATCCTCTACGTAACTGTGTTGAATATAAGTTATGAATTTATAGACATATCAATGCTTAAAATGTTGTTTGATTTGGTGACATTCACTTACATTGGCTGTTTTCTGCGCATCAAAGAAAATAAAGCTAAGCTTACGAGTAATGATATTGGAGAGTAACTGAAAAAAGTTAAAGGGAAAAGATAATTTGCTATTATTTTTGAAGTAGAAAATATTTTGATGTTCAGACATTGACTGATCGAGACACGGTGTCCGAGCTGGCTAGGTTCCTTGAGGCATATCACCGATGCAGAATGACCCGCGGTAATGCTGAGGAACTAGCCTAGCGGGTCCGATAACGTCCGATTCTCGTCTCGAGAGAGGAATAGACAGGCTTTGTTCGACACTTCCTTGTGCAAGGGAAATCAATGGATCTGTGATTAAAATGCATGCCCATATGCCTTGCAATACTCAATGGCTCATTCAGATTTATGCAAATCAGAAATACTTGAGCCATATGCATACGCATAACATGATTCATATGACCTATGTTTGATATTATATAAAGTCAAAACTGCACATTCGAAGCATATTTATTTTTTACATGAGATATGCACAAGCACATATTGACCAGCCATGGAACTTACCCATGCAAGCACTGAACTTAAATGCTTGAGCAAAGTAAGATATTATCATATCTTATCATATTAACGCCGCACTATTCACTTTACCTCGATTGGGTTGATGGGAGGTAAGATAGTCTACCGTGCCACTAATAAAAATACAGTATGTTGTGATTATTTCAATGCATTCCCTACACCATTAGCGCTTCACCCACTCCCCAACATGCCTTGCTTCAGATCTCATCCAGCCAACACGAAAAAGCCAATTTGCGAGAACTCAACATACAAGAAAACAAGCCATAAAGCGGTTCGGCGGCTGGCAGATGAGGCCTCGCCCGCCCGGCGGCCGGGCCGGACAGTCGACTATGAATAGGCATACATAATGCACGCCTCCTCGTAGCCAACACCCAGATTGCGGCGTTAAAGCTTAATCGCACTGCCTAGCCGCCGCCTTGCCGCTTTCTGGAGACGTGATGTGAATAGCTCAGCATTTGAGCATCCATCGGGGTGCATACTGTTAAAATGAGCCGATCGAAAGGAAGTGAAGAGAGGAATGGCAGCTCGATGCTGAACGAGACGCCAGTCACGGCGTCTCCGTGAGCCTCACTGCGTAGTGCGTTATGCCACTAAATGCTTTACAGTTTGGTTTTCGCTAATTGCTGTGAATTATAAAAAGTCGAATTTGCTTTAACTTAAATTCATTTTTGCTTCTAAATGCACAAAAATCTGAAATTATCGTTTTCTCGGGTCATCGTTGAATATTCCTGCCAAACCCGGCAACAGAAAAGAGAGCAAAAACATTCTCTTCTTGGAATATAAATTTTGGGGGGCTCTTCGCATCAATAACCGATATGTATTTTATTCTTACAGCACTGTTGTTGATAACGATTACAAAAAACCGCAACGTTGCACGCAAGCTCGCTTTCAATAAGACACTTGCACACCAATAATGGGGTCGATATGAACTTAGAATGACTGGTCATTGGTATGGTGAATTTGGGTAATATTGGCATCAGGCTACTATGGTTGCTATGGTTACATGGTTGCTATACCATTTCCTGTAGCATTTCCAAACGCCACGCTCTTCCCTCGAATAGAACAGATAGCATCCCTCTGTGCGTTGACAGGCCGTCCTCCCGTGCCCCGCCACCACGCGTTCGACCGCTTCACTTTCAAATCACGCCCGTCAAATCTGTAAACTAGTAAACATAAATAAACGGCGGCAGCGGCCGACACGCCTCTAACGTGGTTTCTCTATTCCGGGCCGGAGCCCGCTCGCCATCTCGAGCGCGGCGATCGCACGCCGAGAGGGTGCGCCGCGAATGCCCACGCGCTAATTTCGCCGCAGTTGGCCGCCAGAATGGCAGCGGGGTGGCGAGCGCGGCGCGGCGCCAGCTGCCGCGGCAGGCGCAACCGCGCCCCGTTCGGCCCGCCCGCGCCGCGTCTTGCCACCCGGTCGCTCGAAGGGAGGCGATCTGACAGATCACAAACTCTTCCCAGCTGCCGAAATTGGCCCCTGAAGCGGAACGAGCCACGTGCCGAAGGGGAGAGGCCGTTATGGGCTCCTCGACGACAGGGAACAGCCGGAGTTGATACGGGGTTGTGGGAGCGGTGCAGAGACTAAGCAAAATTAGTCATTGACGCCAAGAAAGTGCATTCTGTAGCACTCGTACATATTAACATCGGGGAAGAAATATTCAAATGGGTGGCTTTCATGATTAAAGAAATTCAAAAGTAAAACATAATAGGACACTTATGTAACAAATATCAGTCATTATCTCACAAAAGCAATAACTCTGCGCAACTCCATTTATTTTATATTAACATTGTCATTGTCTGTCAAGTAAAAATGTATTAACCCTCGCCCGTATGGGGGGTCGAACGGACCCTCCTCGGTTTTTCGCGAATAACTCGCGTAAAAAGCGGCCGATCGCGACGAAACTTTCAGTACCCTCGCGTTTATTAATTTTACACCTACCCTGAAATTTTCATGACCCTGACCCTAATGACCTTTGACCTGTGACCTACTTTTCGAGACCATGTTTGGCCGAAATCGCGATTCGGCGTATGTCTGCTCGCATTAGCCGCGTGTTTGCAGTCTTTTCGTGGTTTTAAGCGTTCAACTTGAGATATGATGTTGCTCCTATGCATTAGGGTGGGTGTCAAGGTCACCTGAAGGTCAGGTCAGGTCATTGACCTTTGATGACCTCGGTTCACTTTTTCGAGTTTTACATGTTTCTAGGCTAGTTTTTGGAGCTGAATTCGAATTTAGCAACCATATGAACATTTACGAAGTAGTTTTGGCACCTTCGTAACATGTTACGAAGCTGTCAGAGGCGGTTGCCACCTACTATGAATACCCTTACTGGTTGACCTGACCTGACCTGACCCGACCTGGCCTATATGCATGAGGACATCATCTGTGATCAAAACTAACATGATATTCGTGATCAGCACCCCAAAAAACCCCATGGAAGCCACGCTTTACGACTTTCTAACAGGTCCCGATTTTCCCGACTTTTGGGTCATAGACCTGACCTGGAAGGTCAACCGATGACCTAGGACCTTAAAATTGGGTATCATCGGCTTCCTCTCGTCACGGGCAACACGCTCGTTTTTTCCGCAAAGCTCTAGCTCGATCAGGGGCGAAACGGCAAGGGGGGCCCCTTATACGTTCGCGGCTGGAAAAACACTAATACGGGCGAGGGTTAAGAAACCAAATAGAACAGAAGGAAATGACGGGGAACAAGATGTCCTCTGTCACCATCGCTCCATTTAGCTGGAATATGATGCCTGCTTTGAATTCCATTCAAGTGCGGCAGCTCAATGCAAACGGAGCACTCTCTAAATTCTTAGAGGGCTGCCGACACCACGGATGGCCACTCCACTAATAATTCATCGCGCCCTTCTCGCGGATAGAGTGGGCGGCGCCGCTCGCTCTTTTTGACGACCGGGGCATGAGCGAGCCGCAGTCGTCAGCGAGCCTCTGAATTTCCGGACCGGCGGCGGGAATAAACGAAATGACGGCCGCCGCCGTAGTGTCATCCGACCGTACCTGTTCGGTTTACAGCCGCCGGGTACCGGGGGCGAGCGGAGGCTGTTCTGTGCCACCCTCCCCCATCCCTTCCCTGCCGCGCTGGACGGAAGCAGACAAATAAAACCACCACCGGCGCGGATCGGCTCGTCGGCTAATTGTCGGCATTATCACAGGGGAGCTGCGGCCGACGCTAACGAAGACCAACGGGCGCGATTCTGGAGGCTCGCGTGCGCAGCGTCCGCGCGCTCCCCTTGGAGTCGCGTCCCCTGTCGGAGCTGCGCGCCGCTGACCCGCCGTCCGCCAGCCCGTCCGGCCGCGCTATATGAGCTAATGGTAACGGATCGGGCGCGGCTGGTGGGTCGCAAACGGCCGCCAATTGCTAGCGATAGGGTATTGTGACGCGTACATGATACGGTGTCGACGGCAAGACGCAACAACAACATTTCGAGTACTTGGCTGTACAAATAATCCGCGCTTTGAAGTCTTCACTAAGGCATGTGCCAAATTAGCAATCTTGTAGACATTTTTCTTTGCAGTTTATTTTGCAGTGTTTTCACTAGAGATGTCAATCGGATACCAACTTTTTGGCATACCGATACCAAACCGATACCAACTTGGTATTTGGTATTTCAATCGTAATGTGTTTGGTATTTTGTTGGTATCATGAACCCTCAATAATGTATAAAATGCTAAGAAATCGGTAAAAAGTTGGTATTTCCCTCATTTTTCCAAGTTTGTTTGGTCTCGGTTTTCCCCATGGTTTTGGTTGGTATTTGGTTTGGTATCGGTATTCAGATTTTCCGTAACTGACATCACTAGTTTTCACACTGTCATGGAACGGGGTGCTACCGTGGTCTGTGACATGCATAGTTTGCAGTTCGCACATCAGGATACCAGATTTTACACACCCCGGCGTGAGGCCATGAATTTTGATAAGTTCTGAATATTCGACGTGGATGTGTTATCAATCCAACACCGATGGGTGCAGAGCTAGAGATACAGCTCTCTCTTGTCAACCTTATCCGGCAGCTAGAACGAAGACCAATGTTCGATTTACGATCAAGAATAAATGCTTTAGTTTCAGAGTTCAGCATTGCGAGGAAGCTCATCATGGTGACTATAAGCATATTTTTATTGGCTGGCATCGGTTGACAAAGGTCCGTGATCGAATATACCCCAAATTTTATTTTATCACTATATTCTGCCTGGAGTGTGGATCCGGTCACTTTAAATATGCTTATAATGATCATGAGTTTTTTAGCTCGAGTTTTATGGGATGCTCTGTGACAGAATTGATAAACATTTGCAAATATATGAAATATGATAATTTCCTTCATTTTATGTCATCTTGCTGAAACAGATTTAGTACGATAACAAACCAGAGAACACTTCTGATTGTGGTGCTTACCTGATAATCGCCGAGGTTTTCCACGACACATTTCAGGGCGGCGCTCCTGGAGGCCACTACTTCCTGGTTGCCGATCGGCTGAGCAAAAACAGGCTGAGTTTCCGCCTCTGCAAACAAGCGCACAAATGCCGCAATCAGTCCAGAGTACCTCTGCAGTCCGCGGCAATGTAATTCATCATTATCGCTCAAAATAGACACAGAAGTGGGACATAGATCGGCAAACATTACACCCTTTTCAGCATGAAAGCCTATGAAAGCGGCATCTTCTTATAGATCATCCCTGATCTATATGTTATCTAGAATAACGTTACAATCTCTCGCTTCTATCCAAATGTACTCATTACATTTCCGTTTCCTTTTTTCTGATCGTGCATTTCGCCAAGAGAGTCCGTAGTAGGTAGGCTGTGCCGCAGCACTTGTCTGTCGTGCGGCACAGTCTACCTTTCCTTACATCACTGCGCATAGCGGAGGAATACCTAGCGGGGCGATGTGTTGCGACTTGAGAGTAGTTTTTTTTTGCGTCAGACGAATGCGATAGCGAGAATTATCTGAACCTTAGTTAATTATATAATCAGTCAATTTCGCTTCTGCTAGTTATGCTAATAAGTGTGATGAGGCAGGTAGGTACCTACACTTGTTTGAAGTTATTTTACGTGCTTACATAAATGCGGTAGGTACATACTCTTAGTCTTCGTCCTAAAGTGACCACCACAAAATTGACTCTAGAAAGTCAGAAAGATGGATCAAATAAATGAAAACACGATACCGTAGAGCCTTTTAATGTCCGCTATAAAACAAAGAAGATTCACAGCACCACCAAAACGCAAGAAAGAAGGATTCTGAGAATCAACAAACACGTCGTTGCAAATCTGAGAAAGGCGGCGGCCTGGTTCCGACTGCGAATTGTGTTCCATTGCATATCGTGCATATTTCAGCGACTGATCAGACAGAGGGAGATGAGGTGATTCTCAGACGCTGAGCCGATATGGCACGGTGATCTTTGGTGGCGCCGCGGCGGGCACTGCTGGCAGGGGGTGCGAAGCCCGCGCCGCACCGGTCCGCCGCGCGGCTACGAAGATTAGCCGCGCAAAGATTTAGATGGCATCGGTGTAATCTTCGGAGATAAGGTGGAAACCGGGAGGAAATTAGTTTTGTATTGGATGAACGGGAGGCTTTGCGGCCAATCGCGGCCCGCCGTGGGCTGAGGAGCACGCGCTGATGGGTCAGCTGGAACGAGTACTGAACGGTGATGTTCCATGGCAGAGGATTAGCCACCGGGGTGCGGCACAGCGACCGAGTCATGGAAGGAAATAAGACCGGCCAACGCCATGGGCCAAAACAGTGGTTACAATGGAGTGGTCAACTGACGATATCGCTATTGATGAGAGTTGTTCGCTCAATGTAATTTAGTGAAGTTTATGCCCAGGCTGCCAGGAATCACATTTTATTATACTTTTTTATCTTAAATCGCTACGTAAGATACAACTTTTCATGAATGGCATCGACTTCTGAACCACACACATAGGTATAGTCATTATGAAGTTTCTAAGTCTACTGCCAAGCATCCTTTAATTTATATGACTTCTTAGGGATATTAGACATTATCTCCGCAAACAGTTTTCGATAGTTGTTGACATTTTTACTTCAGTGCATGGTCTGGCGTGAAGGAGCAGGGGGCATGTCCTTTCTGGCCTTGCACAGCGGTTGCGGAAATCCATTCATAGCCTGTTTATCCCATGTTGTGTGAGTAGTTTGCGGTCGCAGTCAGCGCTCTTTGGTGTTGTCTCACGGATATTGGTGCCTTCCGGAGAGCAGTTTGCTTAGCAGACTGCGGCGAGGACCAGTAATCAGAGATCTCGATTCCTAGAAAGGCAGCCAGAACATTATTTGAAGTGCGGGTGCCCAGATAGTGGAAAGCACAAGAGAATTAGACATCTATGCAGTTTTTACCTATTGCTGCCTAGCATTGAACATAATTGTATCTAATTGTATGTTTGTATGTATTGACATCAAAAGCCTTCCACATATGGCGAGTAGGGTACGTCACCAGTTATATGGTGAAACTAAAAGTTGATGATAAATCTTGAGCATGTTCATTTTTCGGTTCCACTTACTTAGTAGACGCCGCATACAAAAAATAACAGTCCTCCCGCAAGTGGAAGTGCTGCCTCATGGCCATGCATTTATTGGCCAAAAGCTCGATATATCGAAAACTTATGGCACTCTGAGAATTCAACAGAAAATATTGAAATGTTATAATTTTTGAGCAGGTTCCCGGACATCAATTGGGAAAGCGAGGACAATCCTTGAAACATGTTTTTGGTTCACCCATGCGATGCCTTCACTTCTTCAAGACGGTCATCTACTTCGCATCCGGGAATCTCTTCCCGGTCTTCCTTGACCGTCTGGAGCAGCTTCTGTTTCCCCTACTCTGACTTATTATTTTACGGTTGAAGGTCATTACGAGCGCCAGTGCCCTCTCTGCAGTATTATTGACGATCTTCAGGGCCTAGACAGTGTCACGTGCCACCTGGTAGTCGTGGTCCTAATCCCAGAACTCCAGGTCTCCTCCTAGGAATCCCGTGAGAAAATAACAAGGAAAATGGAGGATTTCGAAGAAGTGCGAAGTCGCATTGACGAACCTATCCATGGTCCTTCCAGCGATATCCAACGACGGATTTGATCGCCGAAGGCATGGTGGCCCACCGACACCGACGCCAGGATCATTCAGTTTGTCCACAATGCATGGTGAACAAGCTGAATGAACAAGGCGCCGGTGTCGTTGGCCCCGCTACTGGATGAAGCGCTCCCAAACGTTCCTCTTCTCATTAAACGTCTTCAAGCCTTCCGCGAAGGATTCCCTCGACTGCGCATGCCGCCCTGAAGGCGAAGAGGATCATGAGTCTCTTTGAGGCGAGTGATTAGAGAACAAGATCAGAGGAGCTAGCCCTGGGGCTGCGTACCGATGGCGACCGATAGCCTTCAGCGCGGCATGCGCACATTGTGCAGTCGAGGGAAAACCTTCGTGGAAGGCTTGAAGACGTTTAATGAGAGAAAGGTCGTTTGTGAGCGCTTCATTCAGCAGAAAGGCCTCCTTCCAGGGCTTAACGTAGGGGAAGGTGGGGTAAGACGGACCAGCTAATGTTTGAGGCCGCATATCTTGCTACACTGCTCTCGTAATTCATATTATTTATAGTCTTCGGAATGCTCAATCCTTCCTCTGTTGATATGTGTAAAGACTAAATTTCAAATTAAAGACATCTAGGTGGTGGATGCTCTTAAAGAGGGACATGTCAAAAACTCAGACAAGAAAAAACGTGGGGTAAGACGGACCACCCAGCAGTGCCTGCTATCCGTTCATGTGTGTTACACTTCTGCTCTGTACTCTTGTAAGAAAAAGTAACCAGAATGGTAAAATAACAAAACGAGCCTTTATTCTTTACTCATGTGTGATGGAAGTGCAGCTAAAAGCTGGGAACAAGTGTGTTGATTGTCGTTTGGCATGAATGCATGCTAACTGAGCACTTGCATGCATGGCTCACATGCAACAAAGACTCCTTCCTGAAAAATTAGCTTACTTAAACTTGTGTCAATGTTTTGGAAAAGAACTTTCCATATGCAGGGTACAATGGACCACCACAGGGTAAGATGGACCACAGTGGTCCGTCTTGCCCCAAATCTAAATTCTGTCATTATCATGACGTATATGTCAAATAGCCCAACATTGCAAAACCTTGCCTTTCCTAAAGTGTGACTATAACTAAGTTTATAACTTTGTTCTTCACAGTTAAGTGCAAAATAGAAACTAATCATGCAAGAAAGGCGCCGTAATTGAATCCGCCGTAGACCTCTTATATTAGATCGGTTTGACGAAAAACAACATTTTTCTCAATAACTCAAAAGCTATGCATCCTAGCAGCATGAGCTCAAGGTGGCCATTGTTACGAAGGAAAACAAACATAGTGAGTGCATAAAGCAGTAGATACCAGCAGCGGTTCAGCCGGGAGGGCTGGTGGTCCGTCTTGCCCCGCTGGGCCGTCTTACCCCACCTTCCCCTACACAAGCGCAGCGAAGGTGGCAAATTCTTCGACTGATTTAAGATCTTTTGGACGCAGTTGGAGGTAATGGCGAAAAAGGAAGATCTTAAGGGCGTATCACTGCATATGACCTTCGACATCCAACGAGCGTGGTGGTCGACCCCCGTCACATCACCGGGAGGAAATTCGCCGAGGAAGAGAACACAGCTGAAGGCATCCTCGGTAGTCGTTCCGTGGCAAGAACTTGCCGGCCTGGAGAGCGCGCACGCAGAACACGACTGCGCCTGCTTTCCAAGCCTTTTCCTTGGGGTTGTCGCAAGGCCGAAAGTCCTGCTGGTTGATATGTTGCCATCGTGTTCTGAAGAAGTCCATGGAAACCTTGGAACTCGGCCCTGAAGTCGCCCCGAAGAGCATTTTGAAGACATGGCTGCAAACAACTTCGAGAATAGAATATGGTGTCAGATGTCTGCATAGTAGCTCGGTATGTTGGTGTTACTGTGTTTGGTGTTACTCTGCTGTGTTTAGTAGAGGCATAAGTCAAAAGAGTCCTATATGTATGTATGCATTATTTACGATCATGGGCGATCCACACATCGCGTGGCGATTACGAAGCAAATTTAATAGAAAACAAGTAAAACAGATTGGTGCATTGATGCCCAAAGTGACGAAAAAGGTCCAAAAATGCCACAACTGAATAAATAACGATACAGGAAGGAACACGTAAGAACGATTCGCTACAGCTTTGTCAGCATAATACCGGCACCAGCAGAATCTCGAACTTAACCATGATTTGTGACACGCTACCAGCATATTATCATTATTCCAATTCGTGTAGCATTTATTGGCAATCTCAACTTCGGCATCATTGGCGTTTTACCGGCAGTACAGGATCATATTTTAGATTCCCAGCCGGCTGTGGCAAACGATACTGGCTATGCCGTTAGCAAGTCAATGGGAAATTGCACCCCTGTCGGGAGTGTCTTGAGGCAGTGGTAAATGAAGGAGAAAAAACACCAAACTCCACACAGTTAATAGTCATGCTAAAAGTAACCCGAAAAATAAAATGCTCA